AGTGATGCCAAACATTCAGCTGCTTCCACTCGAATCAATAAATAACAGCAATAGAAAAACCACATCGGCACATAAACAAACAGGCACATATCAATACAGAGCAACACAACATTTATTCCACATTACCCATATCCCACAAATTCTGCAAAAACACAGCATGAGAGATAAAAAAAACAAAACAAAAATATGACTATGAAAACTTAAACATCTCTTTAAAAAGTCATTAAATCCCTTTTTTTAAGCCCTGTAAGTTTCAAAAAGCTGGGGCGTCATGTTGTTTGTGTGTCATTTCTCTACACAGAAGTAAACTGTGGAGCTCTATTACACATCCAAAATTGACTCTCTGATAGTCATGAAAGTATTTAAAGGTCAAAGTGACTCAAGAAGTTTGCATAAAATAAATATGTCTAATTGAATATCTGTAAATAGATTCTCTCAGGAAATTGCACCAGCGGCTGTGCTTCTGTCTGTGCCAGAATAATTTACCTCCCACTGATGTACAAGTCCCTGTCAGTCTGAGAGTCGCATTAAAAGGTCACAGTGAGTGGAGGAGTGTACATGAAATGAAGTCTACAGCCATGATGTGAGGCTGTTATTCTCACTGTTGAAGAAAAACACATTAATTAAAGTATAAAAGCTGTATAGTTGATTTAAAGTTTTTCATAGCATCAAAAATGTATGAAAGCATCGCCATCATAACCAGACCTCCATCCAAGTGAAGGAGTAAGAACACATTGCTTGTTTACATAAACACAAGTTTTCTTATATATTACGATGAATTCAGACTTCTGCAATGAGTTGGTTGTGAATGCTCAAATAGAGATGCTGATGAAAATGCAATGAATTGCCTTGCCTTCATTTTTTATCTGTATTTGCATCCATACAACTAACAAATTCATCTCTATAAATACGTGTTGAAGAATCTGTATGAATTTCAACCCTATAGGTTCTTAGCTGCTTTTTACCGTCTTAAGTTACAGGATGTAACACCAGGCCTTTGTCAGGATATCTTTAGAAACTGAGTCAAGGGTTGTCTCCACACAATATTGTGATCAATTTTCAATAATATCTAATAAATAAAAGCACAACTTGGCATCAGTGAAGTCATTTACTTAAAAAAGAATGGCAGTTTTTGTCTTGTGGCTATTCACAATGATGAAGCCAACACTTTGATTGGGGTGCATCTCAAGTACAAATCAGGGAACAAATGTGAAATGAGATTAAAATAGTGTTTTTAGCACTGTTCACAATTATATGCAACAAAAACTGCTTTAAGCAATGCATCAACTAAATTAATAAATAACACCAAAATCAGATGATCCAAAGAGTTACTCTTAAACACAAAATCTTATCTCGCTGGTGATGGAGTTTCAGAGGATTAAGAATGTGGTATGGTTCAAATTTCTGTTCTTGGAGGATATTTTTGGGAGTCATGAATGTCTTTACATAATTTCATGGTAAAAATCCAGTATTTGTTTAATCAGTCTGAACCAAAAGTTGTCAGGGGGCGTACTGTAATTGCGATTCTTAAAGCTACACAATTAGTGTGACTAGAAACAAACAGAATCGGATCATATAAGTACACATAGCCTAAATCCATTGGGGGAAATCACAAAGGCAAATATGGGGCTTGCTGTGTGGAATAAGATATGGGCAAGTTTTAGTTTTGATCCTATTCCACCCTGTTATGTGAAATGAGCAGCTGTAACCTTTATATGTTTTAACACCAAGCTTTATACCCTCTTGGGGTTAAATTGTATATATATATATATATATATGAATGTTTTCCAAGAGAGTATTTGGTCCTGTCTTATCAGAGATGGTTTCATCCAAATTAATAGATTTCTATGAGCTGCTTTCAGTTTAAGGTCTGTGTTAATGAGGTAATGTTGATTGATGGCTACTTTATGAAGTAATATGAAATTAAGGATCACAAAGTACAGGCAGGGAAAGAGTAATGAAGCAGCATAACACGCCACTATGTTTAAACCCAAAGGCTCTTATTGTGAAATGAGTCAGAGAATGGGTGAGTTGATGCAAAAATTGAGACATTAGTTATTATGACTATGACAAGCCTAATGCCTGGTGTTTCTCTCATCCTCCTCAGGGGTCTAATCAAATCCACTGTAGTCAGAACACCTACTGCAGCCTTCAAATGTTAGATAAGAGCTCTGTAGAGCGGGCTGCAGTTCAGCCATTCACAACGTGCAGCGGCCCTGTGTGCACAGCAGTTTCTGGCTTTGTCTCAAAGTGACGGAGAGCCGCTCAGAAGCTGCACAATTAGCCACAAGGACACAGAGACATTGTTCTCGCTCTCTCCCTCCACCTCTCCTCTGCCTCGCCATTTGTACAACTCTCTCTGGAGCCGCCCCCGTCCTCTGGGGAAATTGAATATACAGAGAATACACAAAGCAGCAGGGATTCTTTCTCTGTTCAGTCCATGCAGCGATAAGGGTGAAAGCAGCTCTGTAAGAGCAGCTCTTTTGTATAGTTAAGGCTGCAGTGAAAGAGGAGATGATGCTTAAGTTGGGGAGACAAGTTAATACAGGTTTTTAGGATTTAGGGTTAGGACTTTTAAATGTGGATTGTGTAAAGGTTGAGAAGATTATCCAGATAATTAATTGAAGGTAGGTAGATATGGACAAAATTCATGATGAATTACATGCTGAAAATAGAGAATAGCTAGTTTAGGGATTTGACTCTGTTACTGAACTAGGGTGTACATTGAAGAATGGTTTTTAATGAAAACACATCTATTGCACCAAAATTCCAGCAGATTTTCTGGATTGGCTTAACACACTTTTAGCTCTATTTTTTTTTATAGCTTTCATCTCTTTTCTAGTCTTCTGACTACTCAAAGAACTGCTTTTACACCACAGGCCCTCCTGCCCACTCACACACTAATGGCAGAGGCTGCGATGTACGGTGTCCATCAGTATTAACTAATCCGTTAATACACATCTACACACCGCAGACAAAGCAACGGGAGCAACTTGGGGTTAAGTGTCTCACCAAAGGACACATCGGATATGTGGCTGCAGGAGCTGGGGATTGAACTTCCGATCTTCTGGTTGAGAGACGACTTATGTTACCACTGACCCACAGCATTGAAAATATCGCAATTTCATCATTTTTGGATGATAAACACTTAAAAAAATATTATTAGGCATCAGCCCAAAGTGAACATTTGTTTTATGATCTAGCAGGCCGATAAGATGAAACTTAGATTGTGTATACCCAACACAAGCTGTTGATTATCTACTGTAACTTCTTTCACAACCTTTAAAATGTAAGATTAAAATATGTTTATATGTAACCTTCGAGCTTCATTTGTATGATGATGTCTGCTTCTGGCTGTTGGTCATCACAATAAAGAATGATAACAATGTGTATTCTGCAAAAGAAGAGAACTCATGTCTCGGAAGTTGGTGGGGGGAAAACATTTAAATATATCGTTATTGTCTTTGGTAATAGGGCCAAAATTAGTTGGTATATATCTGCCAATTGGATCTTAGCAAAATACGATATTATACATTTCCTGATAAAGTTAGTTGCTGAGAAAGAAACACAGTTAAGATTTGAACCTGAACTGTTTATTGTAAAAATCCAGTTAGGTAAGGTAAATAAGAACATCCTCATTAAATCCAAGGGCTGCTTAAAGACTTCAACACTTGATCGGAAAACAAATCTTTTTTTTCTTCTAAAATGACGTAGGTGGTGTGTAGAAATAAGACACGATTTGAAGAAAAAAAAAAACAATAGTGGATTTGTATAAAAGGTAGCCTCAACTGGAGTCTTCAAATGAACAGAAAATCCCAACCACTTTCCCAATCTAGCAGCTCCTTCACAACACACAGAAAAGTTGGAAAGTAGATAAACCTTTAGAGTTTTGGTGTCTCTCTCTCTCTCTCTCTCTCTCTCTGGGTCCCTCTGAGCCCTCTAAACCTGTTAGCTTGAGGAGTGTTAGACTGACAGTACTGGGGCAGAGCTGTAACTGCCCTTTCTCTTTTTTTACATGTAGCTTCCGGCACAAAGAACAGTGTTTTCCCTTCAGATTTTGGGGTCTTGGGTTCTGTGCACCAGACATCACTAGCAAACAGTGAAGCTCTAACAGATGCCTGGCACCAGTGTTTTCTTTAGAAGATCTATTATATCTGAAATCAGCCTATTCTTTACTGTTGTCCAGATTTAGTACAGAAACCTATGCTTTCATCTCTCCCTCTGTCCTTGCTGACACCTTTGTGTTTGGGCTGTGAACTCATCTCAGCCTCTCTTTTGAAAACTTCTTTGTCACGGCATTTCTGCTTTATCATACTTTCTGTGGAAAAAACGTCTGACCTCCTGATGGGTTTTCAGAGTCTGTTCTTTTGTCCCTTTTCAGGCTCGGTAGCTCTTATGGGGGTAAACTTTTCTTTTAACTCATATACCTCAAATAAACTCCAGACTACTGTTTTTAAATGAATAAAATGTCTAACTGACGAGGATATACAAGAAAATAACACTGTATGTAGTTTTGATTATGGCCTGTGAGCTTTTACCTGAGCATGACTATTTAAACTGGACATCATATTCTTTAAAAGAACGTGTACTTGTTCATTTTGATACAAGAAGGGAGGCGGTAAACACTCTTAACCCCTTGCAGGTATTAAATTATGGACGCAAAAACCTTTTTCAATAGGTTAATATCAATAGGTCTATTTTTTCATTTTCCATTTTTTTCCTGCTTTTTTTGGCACCTTGGAATTGTTTCCCAACTGCAGTGGTTATATCACGTGTTTATCATTTACATGATTCTGCATCTTGTTTTCTGCTTCCTCAACATCATTGTCTGTTATTGTAAACTGTGTCAAGACCTCTGAGGGTCCATCATTTGATATGACCAACCTTTTCTACAATATATTTCTACAATAACATCCGCCTCCACTTTTGTTTTTGTTTTTGTTTTCAGTTATCCCCAAGGATTAAACGGCTTAACTGTAACCTGTTTGTCTCCTCCCCAGGTGGTGGTGAAAACTCGCACGGAGTACCAGACAGAGAAGAAGAGGCTGAAGGTGCCAAAGGTGGAGGAGTTCACCATCAGCTTCACTGACGGTGTGTCTGAGAGACTGAAGGTAAGCATCTGAAACCTTGTTTTGAATGAAAACTAGGGATGTTGGCCTTCTGATCTGATAATCAGGATCCAGACTGGCCCTGATTCTAAGTAGAATGGGGATTAGCTTTGACGTTAATACAGTTTCTTTGTCAATGTCACCATTAAAAAAAGCATGTTTTCACTATAATTTAAATTCATTAATCAGGGTTTTTGGTTTGGTCCCTATTGGCTCATTTCCTGGATTCTGTTTTGGAGGGGAAAAGTTGGATCAATCATACTGTAACTGATGTATGTGTGGGTTGAGATTAAATTTGTCATCATGACTCTAATTAGAAACAGGATATTTATCCATATTACATTTTCCCCGTAGCTGACTCTTTAGTTTAGAATAAACTCAAACATTTTGCTCTGCATGCTGAGTGAGGAGGCAGAGATGTACCTAAGCAGAACTGCTGAAGAACAAAATAATAATGTGAACATGTCATGCAGACACGGCAGCTCTATCTGTCTTGTTTTATCTCTACATTTCTTAAACATACGCTCAAGCAGATGGTTTCAGGTGTACTCGAGGTCAGTACATAAGTCCAATTTTAGAATAAACACCACTCCAACATTTAGAGGACAAGTTCAGCAAAGAGTAAATTTAGCCCTGCTTCATCTACAGGGGGCACTGACATCCACACCACCCAGAAAAGGACCTTTAAATTATTTCAACACTGTTTTATGTGTCATATAATTGAAGTAAAGCGCTGAGTGTTTCTTCCAAATGACTTCCCTGGCAAGCACAAAGACAGGTGACGTCAGCTGTGTGTGTGAATCACTGAGGTACCTGTCCAAAAACATCAGCATCACCAAGTCTGTCCAATTCTGCTGTCAGTATGGGCGACCAAATCGAGCTTGCGTTGTCATGGCAGCAAAGAAAAATGTCTCTCCTGAAAAAAGAGTGAGATAGAAGAGAGAAAGTAGCAGAACAGAGGTGTGAGCGTAAATAAGATGTGTAACACATAGTCTGAAATGTCCTCCAAAGTAAGGAGGAGCAGAATAAGATATCAGGCAGCAGAAGAGGCTCTGAAATCTGTCTGGATGAGACCTTGTATTTACACGCAAACGCCCACTCACACACACACACACACAAACACACTATAATAACTGGAGCTGTGTCAGAACACGCAGCCAGGGCTAAATTTAAAAAAAAAACGTTGAAAAGCATTGCTATCGGTATCTAGGAAATGGCAGCATCCATGGACAATCATGTTATAAATCCTCCATTAAGAGATTGTATTTTAAATTCCTGTGGTTTCTTATTGTTTGAAAATACAGTCAAAAAGCCTCCAGCCCTTCTGTGATGTATTTGAAATTATACAGGTTAAACATGAAAAGCAGATGGAGAATTCCACCAAGGGGTATGCAATTCACTTTCTTTAAAACGACATTATCATAAAAGCTGGTGTCATAATGTGGTTCATCATCTGTAAATTCAATTGAGAAAATATGTTTTAAGACGCACTGATTGGGAAATCAGGCCCAACACTAACAAAAATGTATTTAGTGCCTTTCCAAAAGTGAAATAAAAAACGTTCAATATAAAATAAATAACTGAACTGTTTTGAGTCGGTCATTCCTTCTATGAGCACATAGTCTTAAAACATGTTCTATAAAAGCCTTTTTAGCCTCTTACACAACTACAGTACAGTAGCTGTACCTACTCAATTAGAATAGGTTTTCAGTACTAACACAGCTAAATAAAAACATCACTTTTGTATTGGTTCTTGATTGTACAACCTTACCTGTTAAGTCACCGGGACATGTCTTTAAAACTGAATGTAATTATTATTCTTTACTCCTACATAACCAACATTTTTTCACAAACGCTAGCAGCACCAGTTCCCTCTGATGTAATGCTAGGTATGCTAGTAAGCAATTAGCAAGAGCAAAACTGATGCCACACCATAGTTCGCCAAATGTCATTTAACTTACGTGTTTATGTTTTACTATTCTAATAAATTGAATAACTTAACACAACGTGACCATGAGAAGTCGGCATTGAAACCAAACTTTGAATAGATAAGTGTTTATTCCTGACAGATAATTGTTTTTTTTTTTTAAATAGACTGAGTTGTACATGCTTGCTAGGCTGTGCTAATTTAAAAGTACACACTTCTGAATGAACTTCCAGCTGTCAAGTGGCATTTTGGGTAGTATTCCAAGAGAAATCATTCAAATACTCTATGCGGACACTTCACAGTATTTCAGGAGAGGAGACTTCTAGTAGTATGACACTTGTGTTACTGAAAAAAACATCAGGGAAAATTGACAAAATGTGCATATTGAAACTCAGCAGTGCAATGCAAACTTGTTGGAGATTGTTGCCCATCAGAAATGTTGCCGCAGATTTTGCCGTCATCTTAAGCATGCACATTGCGTCAGCTACTGTTAGGCAGAAATGCGTTTCAGTGTGTGATTTTGTGCATTGTTGGTTGGTTTTTGGATCTCAACTGAACTGCTTGCCTCTTTGCTTGACTGGCAGAGCTGATTCTGCAGGCGCACAGGCATAGCCACACACATACACACACACACACACACACACACACACACACACACACACACACACACACACACACACACACACACACACACACACACACACACACGCACACAGTGTGCTGTACAGTGCAAACATTTGGGATGAAAGCTTGCACATTTCTTTTCTCTTCTAAGCTTCGCAGATTGTGTTGATGGATGAAGAGCTCAGAGTGTAAAATGCTCTCTAATCTGCCCTCCCTCACCGCCTTGCTCCTGCTTCATGCTTTCCTCAAATTCTTTCCTTCCCTGCCGATGCTCCTTTTCCTTCCTTGCATGTTTTTGCTCACTGCTTTCATATATATATATATATATATATGTATGTATATATTTAATTTAAACAGTTTTTCTTTGAAAGGCAATGCAGCTTGTTTCATTAAAGATATGCATTTAGTGAATAGGACACAGAACATTTTTTATGCAAGAAAAGCACACTGAAATAGCACCAAAGGGCAAAAGAAAAACAGTTTTTCGTTTTACCTACAAGCAAAGAATCACATATCACAAACTGTTATAATTAGGTGAAAATAGGCCATAAAATTGGAAATATGACAATGAATTCCTTCTCCCTGCTGCCCCTCATTACCCCTCTAGTCCCTAACCCGCAAACAACATGTTGCTTTGTCTTTCTGAGGATGCATTGTTGTTAATTTGGTTCCTGTTTTGACGTAATGTTGATGAAGTGATGAAAAATACGATCGCGAGTCCGTATATTGTGTTTTATTTTGAAATTGACCGGATGTTCTGTGCGTTTCCTTGTCTGACTTCCTGTCCGGGCTGTCATATTCTGTCCAGCTTGACGCGTGCCTGCAGCGTACTCCGGCGAAAATAGACTCGCTGCGTATTTGAAACGGAGCAGAGCGCAGTGCCGTCGGTGGCTCGCGCCGGAGACGGACCGCAGCGCGCCCTGTGTGAACACAATGATTGACTAGAGTGGAGGCTAAGTACAACGTAGTGCGCTGCGCTGACGGACTGCGGCGCGCACGGATTATGTGTGATTTGGGCTTAACCTTCCATCTCTTGTCACAGATTCCTCCCATTAGAGCAGGTTCATATGTCATTGCTTCCCTTGTCCCTCTCCCCCAAGGTTACATGCACACAGAGAAACCAGGTTATTCATATCCCTGTATACATAATAAATACTACTACCCCACTTTCTGATTACTGCATCTTATTTGGGCAAGCCCCTCGACTTGTGTTGGGGAAGCCAGTGTCCTTTAGCCTGTTTTTTTATTCAGTTGTTTCATCACTGCAAGACAAAAGTCAGTTTCTTCATCACTACAGAAGTAAAAGGCTCTCATTGCTGATACGTCACTCGCCTGCGCAGGCAGTCAGCTCTCCCCTCACTTCTCCTCTTCTTCTGTCCCTCTGCTCCTGCCCTACCTCCCTCCCTCCCTCCCTCCCTCGCTTGCTTTCTCTATCTTTCTGATGACTCCCGGCAGACCTGAGATCCAGCGTTTTCCCTACGCTGTTTTGTTCCATGACAGAACAGAGCACATGTTTCCCTTCCTCATTAACTAACTAACTAAAAGCTCCCGAGTTGAACCTGGAGACGTCTCCAGATGGAGTTTAGTCTGTTGACATAAATAATGTTGGACGAACTTCTTCTCCAGTTTGCATTAGGGCCGGTGAATTCATGCTAAATTATTTCATAATCAAGATGATTAAGGCTAAAAATAAATCAAGTTTAGTTCAGATCATCACATAAGTTTATTTTTCCTGAAAAGCTAATTAAATGAGTTGTCATGAGTTCAATATCAACATCTTTACTGCTTCAAGACAAGACAATTGCAGAATTTGTATTAGGAAGGAGAAAGGTGGTGCATTGAGGTATTTGCAGTGTTTTTGATTTGAATTCAGCTCACGACCTTTGCTGCAAAAGATCTCCTTTTTTCCCCTTCAAATTTTGCTGCAACGCTCAGCTGCAGACAGTCTTCTTGAAGGAAAAACACACGAAGAGCATCTCTGAAAATGGAAACTTGAAGAAGGGAAGATTGGATAGGTCAGGTCCCTGAGGGCAGGGGTCGAAGCTGCAGATGTACAGGTTGATGAAAGAGACTATTCATTTGTGTTGTCCTGCTGGGTTCCTGGCTTGATCACTATCCAGAAAGGAGTACTTGGCCTCTTCTCGCCTGGCTTGCACACACACTTCAAACCCATGTGCACTCACACACACTCTTACAGGACTGACAATGACCGCATGACTGCACTGTGACTGCCAAGCCTAAGTTAGAAGGCCTGTGCAGGTAGCTGCAGGAGAGGCGGCCGTGGTCCAAAACAATTACACCATTATTACCTCTACTTCGCCTTCACATAAAAGCTTTGCTGCAATCTGCCGCCTCCACAGAAGGCCTTCACTGTTTGTCAGGTAGGAGATAATTACTGCTGCGGTAGGAAACCTTGCACAGCCTCCTCTTTCACGCATTGTTTGTGCTTGCT